GAGAGAGAGAGAGAGAGAGAGAGAGAGAGGCAAAGGAAAGCACATAGATTTCCGGTCACAACCAAATGATCATTGTCGACGAGAAGGGGGTCACAGTCTGACTGCTTCGGTGGGGGGGCGTTCCCCCTCCTCCCCCCCATCCGCCAGGTAAGTGAAGAAAACACACGTTTTATGTCTACATCTCACGGTGTGACTGGTGTGGGCGGGGGTGTGGAGTGGGTGGGTGAGGGTTGTGAAACCGCCTCGCTGCTGCATACAAAAGGAAAGAACATACACTTGCTGTCTGTGTCACAGCCGAATGATCAGTCAAAGGGGCAGAGAACCCCTTCCTTCTGCAATTACTAAAAGAGTAAAAGACGTGTTTCCTATCTAAGCTCGCTCCCCACACTCTTTCTGGCTGCATAAAAACAAGGACAAAACATCACAGTTCGACCGATCGGAGGGGTTGACCCTCCCCCTGCTACATATGTAAAAGCAAACATTCATTCACCGTCTACATTTCACTGCCGAAAGGTCACAGCCGCCACCTGGAAATGTATCTGGAGAAAAGGTCACAGACTGACTGATGGGGTAGTTGCAGAAAGATTGGATTTTTTATGGTGCTTCAATCAATACTGAGTTGCTTGCACATGATTTTCCTGTTTCTAAGTTTCTTGTATTTGACCATTTTGCCTAAATTTGTCAGTTACTCTGCACAAATTTATAACTGAAAATATTTTGTTGGTTCACAGATTACTGAAGATATGGCTGGTCATAAATTTGGAGAATTTCCTCCTACTTGTAAAACTTGGGGGGAAAAAAAAACAAAACAAGAAAAGAAAAACAAACAATGGCACAAAAACTGCCAAAAACTCAATGCAGTCTTGGTCAGAAGGAAGAACGTTTTTTCTTTTCTATTATTTCCAAAGCTGTCTTCTCCTAATCAGGGCACAGCTTATATATTTTTTTCTCAATTTTTTTAGCCCTTCAACGAAGAAAGGTTCTGTACATACATGCGGCGCATCACGATGCGCGCGCACTGCATGCGGCGCACCTCTAAAAACGGGGGTCGAAAAAAAAAAAAAAGTTGCGAGGGGCGGTAGTAGACCCGGCCCCCTGCTCGCGTAAAATAAGAAACAGGCAGCCAAATTTTTTTTCGAGGCTGCGCGTTGGCCTGAAAGCTTCTTGTAAAACATGTAGTCCGTGTAACACTGTGTGTATGGTAGGGTTCTTGCAGGCCAGATTCAGTCATGATGAGGGTCGCGATCTCTCAAAACGTTCGCTTCTTACTACTTCTGAAGTAGAAAACGACAGAACTGACAGCCGTTTTTCCTGGAGTTTTTTGCTAATAATAAAAAGAAAAGATTCAAAAGAATGTAAAGGAAGAAAATCAGAATGACTGACCTGTCGCCCGAATCCCTGAGAAGAGGCACCAACTGTGAAAAAAGAGAATGAATCTTCAGCTAGAACATGGAAAGGTACATCGCCCTTGGTCTCTTTTGATCATGTGGTGAGTGGTGGAGCGAAGCCCCGCGCGGCCAACCTGTCAGAACCTCAACGGGACTATTCACCAACGGCCTCGCTGCACTAGTCTCGACATGCACACAAGACAGATATGGCAATGTATCTTTCCATGTTCAAGCGGAGGATTCAATCTCATTTGTCCAGAGATTCTCCAAAAAAAAAAAAAAAAAAAGGTTCCAGAGATACGTTATGTGCTTACTTGAGGCCTGACACTAGCACTTCCAGAAATGTATCTGATGGCACTTACGGCCAGACTTGGACGAATCTGACCGCAATCACGGCCAGAGCTTAGTAGAAAAGGTCTGAGTGTACGGCATACTCACACTCGGACTTTTTCTACTAAGCTCTGGACGTGATTGCCGTCAGATTCGTCCAAGTCTCGGATGGCATACCTTCTACATCAGCACGCGCTGCCAAAACCATCCGTCGTGGACGCGTGCTGAGGTAGAACGGATCTCTCTCTCTCTCTCTCTCTCTCTCTCTCTCTCTCTCTCTCTCTCTCTCTCTCTCTCTCTCTCTCTCTCCTCTCTCTCTCTC